AAAAAAGGCCTCTATTATCATGGTCTAACACAATTTGGATTACATGATACTTTTTTTAAAATAAAATATATACCATTTAAAATTATAAAAATGCAGCAATTTATAAAATTAATTTTACATTGATGGCTCTCATAAAAAATTAAATAAAATAAATAAACATTGACGGCCTAAAATAAGAAAACAATAACAGTTCATAAAAACCTAAACCTTTGGCCCAAAATACAAAAAGCCCAACCCAGAGTCCCCAACATTCAGCCTCTTCCCGCCGCCTACATCTCCGCCAGCCTCAGACCTTCAATTCGTTAAGCTGGACAAAGCGCTTTCAGACGAGGACTGTACCGATTAGAGAGTTGCATTCTTCATCTTGTACAGGGTTCGCTTCTTGTACAGGCTTTCATCGGAATTTCTTGTACAGGGCTCGTTGACCGCCACAGACCGTCTTTCCGGCAACCGATAGTAAGGAACTTTCTTTTGATGTTTTTATTTATGGGTTTTATTTCTTGACAATTGGGTGTTGTTTAATTATGTATGGAAAACGCAGTTACTTTGTTTGAAAAAAAATTATGGAGCCCTTTGTCCTCTGTTTCAAGTCTCAACCTTTGCGCTCTTTGCAACTACCCTTAGGTTCTTTGATTTATGTTTGTAGAGATAAGGATTCTGTCAAACTTGGTTATTGGTTTTCGGATTCTTGCTTTGCCGTCAATTTTTTGGTGTTTAGGGAATTGATACTTTTTGGAAGAAAATGGATATTTTCAAAGTTATTGGGGGTATATCATAGATGGACAAATAATACAGTTTCCAGTACCACTGAATGGTTTATGACAGATGACACGGTTTTCATTTCAGGTGTAGAGGTAGTGAAGTAGTGAACAATAAAGGCCTAGATCAAGCAAGAAACATTTCTTCTGTAGCAGAAATAATAAAAGCTTATTGAAGGATCATCTAACTTTCATTCCTTAACTGCCAGTCCAATACTCCTATGAACAAGAAAGAGAAGAAAGAACAGATTAATTAAAAAGAAAAAAAAGAAAAAATGAAAAAGGAACCAGCAAGAGGTTGAAAACTATGAAGAGGAAGTTCACTATCAAAAGATTGTCTCATTTGGTGACTAAAGGCACAGTAGCTTGTTGCAAATCAAGTTCTTTTATCGTTTTGTTGTCAAAAAGAAGTGTAAATTCATGGATGGTGTGCAGTTTTCCATATTGAAATCTGTGGCTTGCAAGAGATAAGAGTTTATCCATGAGCTACCAAATCACATTTTTGGTGCATTTGCCCCCTATTTCAGCAGATTGAATGTATCTGAGGTGTCTAGATACTCAAAATGCACTGTCTAGCTATTTACTAGTCTACTCCACATCCATCACTGTGCAGATTATTTTTTTTTTTTTTTGGATGAATGTGCAGCCTATCATTAGTCTACTCCACATTCATAATTGTCCACGATATGAATTCATAGTTTACTTCTAGCAACCAAACTTCTAATTTAATCTTCTGGAATATCCTAAGTAGTTAAAAAACTTTTTATTAGCATGCTTCCACTGTTTTATATTTTACCAGGTAACCAATTTTTTGGGATTCCATTTTTTTTCATGTTATTATTATTATTTTTGAATTTCTGTCAATTGTATGCTCTGATTTTTTATTTTTTTTTATAAAAAAAGTAACTGAGGATTTTTATATCCTTTTGTAGGGTGCAGCAGGAGTCAGTTGATGATGCTGAACGTAATCGCTTTCTCTTGTTAACTACGTAGATTATGCTTTTGATGACTTTGGGGGCCGTCAACCACATGTTTATCCTGGGTTGTCTACTGTGTGGGGTAGCTTGGCCCGTAGTAAGGTATGTCTATCTTCCCTGATACAGCCTTCTATTAATGGTGTTGATTTCTGTCTGCTTTCCTGCTTTGGTATTCTTTCTCAATAAAATTCAGTAATGTTGTGACTTTGTTCTTTTATTGTAATTTTGGAAGTTGTAGGCATGTTTCTTTCTTTTTCTTTTTTCTTTTTTTTTTTTATGATATATATAAATGTTTTGATCAAAGCAACCCCTTCGAACATATTTCATTAGGTGAGATGAGCTACACTACAGTACCAGAAATAGATGGCATAAAACATTAAGATAACAATCCTCTTCTAGTGTGAGTTCATTCCACATTAGTGTAGGCCATTGGAATTATATTATTAACTGAATCAAATTAATGTCTGCCACCTATTATTCATTGATATGGAACATATAGATTCAGAATACATTATGCATATGAACAAAGGAAAGAGTCTAACAATTAAATTAAGAACACATATAAACAGAGAAAAAGGCCAGTTATTTATAATTTAACTCAGAATACATATTCCCAACTTATTCTCTTTTTTTCTTTTTTTAGGGGGGGTTAAAACTTAAAACCAACAAACCATCCAATTTATCATCAAGAAAACTAGGATTTAGTTGCAACAAAATTAACCAACTAAATTTAATTATCTACAATCCAACAGATCCTCTACAGTGGTTCTATTTTTATGAAATCTCACGGACGTTGAAGTGGCGCGGATGCAGCTGCATGTTGCGCTCCAATACCACGTGAAAGAACATGTTTGAGAGTGAAGAATGAGAGTTCCTCTCTCTATGGATTCTGGGTTCAGGAAGGAGGAAGAGAAAAGGTTAGGGCCTTTAGAAGGTAACTCTCAATTGATGAGAAATCTATGTAATTTAATTCCAACATAAAATGAAATGAAAGATTTGTAAAGTGTCAACTCGCTCGCTCTTGATTGATTCAAGCTGGTTAAAAGAAAACTGCTTACAAATTGACTGAGCCCAAGATGGAGAAGAAAGAGTAAGACCCCTTGACAGCTAAGTTGCAGGGGAAGAGAGAATATAGACGCCGATCACCTCGAACGACGACGGCGGAGCCAGGCTCACTTTATGGAGAAAGGAGACGAGAAAGACAGTTGACCTGGGTTTTATATATATCTTAAAGAAGCGTTTAAACCCTCACTTTGCATCCCCCAGGTTTTGTGCAATGTCATTGGTTTAATTTAATAAATAGATTAGTATTTTTTTTTGTTTCATTTATTATTTTTAAATATTTTTATATTTATCTATTATATTTCACATTTATTTTAGTTTAACCTATTTATTAGTTTTCTACTAATAATGTCATTATATTTGATCAAATTGACTTTTAACTATATTTTTTTTATAAATTTTATTTGTTACAATTAATTTTAAGATAAAACTAATTTTGTGAGGGTAATAAGTTATTTTTTACTATTTGAAAAACTATAACCTTTATTATATGTTGTTTCAATTTTATCTTAATTTTAAGATAAAACTAATTTTGTTAAAACTAATAGAATTTCTATACACTATACTATTCTAAAATATTTTATAAAGTTTATAAATTATTTAGAAAAAAACTAACTTTATAGACTAAAATAAAATTAGACTAATAATTAATAGATCAATTATTGAATTAAGTCCAATGCCATTGGTATAAAATCTTTTTTTT